GAAGTGGTGATATTGGAGAACGAGATCTACCACAGAAACCTTCTCCCACTGCTCCAGGCGAGGATTATTGACTACAAATAGGTCATCCCTGAACAGCGACTGTGGAGTCCTTCCAAACACAACCACAACTCACAGCCCAGCACAATCACCACATTTACATCACAAAACACGAGTAGATTAGAAAAAAAAACAAACAACAAAAAACACAAAACCCAACCCCTTCCTATCCTGACTCAGGGATTTTAAATATTTTAAAGGCAAACTCCAGTCTCCGGTTACATAATTGCCCTGCCCGGGTGGCTGCAGCGCTGCCTGCCAGCCTCCCCTGCGAGGAGAAACGCTGCAGGGCTGCGAACTGGCAACTCGGCGTTTAAAATTTAAGCTACCAGCGAGCACGTTCTCTGACAGAGACACTGAAGTGTCCATTAAAAGAGGTGGATTCTTCACAAACTGACCTCCTGCCGCTGTGACAGAGTAACCAGCCTTTACATAACTGGGAGCTGATGGGCGGGAGAGAAATCCCTGAGAAAACCTGCATGTCTGAGGTAGCACTGAGGCACAAAGGGAACGAAGCAACCTCTACACAGTACTACAAACCCTTCTCTTTCCAAAATTATTCCAATATTTCATCAAACCCGTTCCTAACTATCAGCAGTAATTCCTGTTTCGCACAAGAGCCCTCCATAAGCCTATTTTCAGTCTAAATACGCCTGTTCCTTCTTACCAACTATTCAGTTCCTCCCTAATTACCTACTTACTACCGGTAATACAAACTCCAGGTTTCAGCTCCAAACCCCTTACACACAGGCTGCCTCTGTCCCCAGCAGCTTGGAGCCCAACAAAGGAATGTCCTTAACACCAGAGGACAAAGCAAACTCCTGTCTGTGGCAACATCAAATTTCAGGGAGTGAGGTTTCACTACATGAATTTACTTTCACTTCCCTCCAAAAGCGGATGTCCCGTGGTGTCTGTGTGAAACCAAGGGGGTGTGTGAGATTTCCAGCAGCCAACCCCATTCCAAAGGGGTCACGCGCCAAACCCTCACGTGACATTTCAATTCGCATCCTGAAATGCTCCAGAATGAACAAATCCAGGAGACAGTGCACAAAAACCAGTGTAAACCTTCCAGGATTGGCCAACCAGCGGGGCTGCACGTTATTCCCAAGGTATCCCCAGGGATGAGCGTGTCACCCGTCTGATCCACTGGCAGCAGTTTCATAACCTGCCCTGGAGCGCCCGGCTGCTGCTTCAACTGTTACACTTTGATTTCTCAACCCATTATCCACCCTCAGTCTCCCAGGCCTTTATTTTACGGCCTGAGCTATAAAAACATTTCATTCTTGTTTTTTGATCCTGGTCATGAATAAATTTAAAAATAGTTTTAATTTTTACCCAGTGCAATATCCTCCTAAGCAATGACAGCGCACCCCAAGAACCCTGGTGCTTGTATGTTTTTTGGACTGTGTGGGTCTACAGTTTTATCCTAAGCTTTAAAGTGCTGCTTTTCTCCCAGCTGCAGTTTAAATCTTCTCAAAAAGCCAAATCTAAAAATGGAGATCACACAAAGCAGTATTTTATGTACAGCCCAGATGAAAGGTTACTCCTCTTCTCTCCTTCACAGCGTCTCTCTCGGGCATTAATGCTGATTTGCTTCTCTGACCAAAAATCCTTTAATCAAAGGAACACAGATCCTCAATTACACATCTCAGATAATCAGACACTTCATTCCTTTCTTCCTGAGAAAGTTTCCACCCAAGCTGACCTTGTCCCTATGATCACACACCAGGATGGAACATCAGCTTCACAATTCCCACCAATGAAGCAGCAAAAGCTGTTTTTGAAGAGTTTATAACCACTATGAAAGTTTCATTCTGCAGCTCAACGTTTGTATGTAAACACCCCAAAAAGGATTATGGCACTTGCAAAGCCCTCAGTGGACTTCCAGAGTCTTCCTATCTGCTGATAAGAACAGTTTAGACTCATTTCTTCCAGAACTAACCTCTACAAGGAATGACATTTTCAGTGTTGCTACTTTGGCTGAGCAAGCTCCAGAGGATGTGTCAGCCAAGAGCAACATCACCACCTCAGATACCACGTTCTTCCCTCCCAAGATGTGCATTTTGGGTTCAGCAACCGAGAAAGGCTTTAGGACAGCGCTGCATCAGCCACTGCCGAAGATCAATGGTTGCACTGCTCGAGCTACATAGTCACGAGGTGACAGAACTGTCCCAAGAGGCCCTTCCTAAAAGGTGCCACTTTCTATAAAAACCACCCAAACCACAGCTGTGGTGAGTGAAAGCACAGTGCCCCTCACTGCGGAACGAGTACAACAACACTTAAACTACATCCATTTGTGCCATTGGAGCGTTATAAATAATTCAGGAGGCCTAAATTTCAAATCCTGTGCTCTATAACAAGCCAATGACAAAATAACCTGCCAGTGACTCCTCTGGCTTTCACAAAGAGCTCGGTGCGATGAGCTCCCTTTTTAACTGGGGTTTTCAGCCGCTGCTGTACATTTCTAGCTTACTGTATTTTTGTAAAAAACCACGTACGTCAGCATCGTGACAAAATAATCTGTAAACTGCTAAAAGGCTCAGAGCCTGCGGGAGGTGTGGGGGGTGCCACAGGCCCCTCTCCGCCCGGGTCCGCGCTCGGAGCTGCTCACCAGGGGTCGAGACCCCGCGATCCCCTCAGAGCCCCCCCACCCCCGGGAGGGGACACTCACCGTCATTCCCGCCCAGCCCGCTCCGCAGGGCCCGGCCGTCCTCGCGGGGCCCGCTCACCGCGGCCAGAGCGGCAGGGCCGGGGCCCGGCAGCCGCGCGGGGGACGAGCCCGGCGGCCGCCCGCCCGCCGCCGCCCCCCTGCCTTTCCTCCTGAAGAAGGACATAGCGCCGGGGAGGGGGGGCTCGGCGGCCGGCGGGCCGGGGGAAGGCGGGAGGCAGGGAGGGCGCGGGCCGGTCCCTATGAATGGGGCTCCTGCCCCCGCCCGCCGCCGCCGCTCCCTCCGCCTCTTCCTCCCGCGGCGGCGCCCGCAGCCGCCATGTTGTCAACAACTGCCCCGCGCCCGCTTCCGCCCAGCGCCGCCGCGCGGCACGGCGGGATGTGCCCGCAGTCAACATGGCCGCCGCGGCGTCGGGTGGGACGGCCAATAGGGGACTGTCTCGGGGCGGCCATATTGGGTGAGGGCAAGCAGCCCGTGAGGGTCCACAGCGGTGAGGCGGGGGGAGGTCGGCCATCTTTGATCAGGGCCGGGGCCGGGGGAGGCGGGGGCTGCCATCTTGGTTGAGGGCACAGGTGACCTGGGGACGCTGCGGCAGCTTGGGCGCGTCCCGTGGGCGCGGGTGACAGAGAGCCCTGAGGGCAAGGGACAATGGTCCTGAGGGCAGGGGAGAGCCCTGAGGGCAGGGGACAATGGTCCTGACAGCAGGGGACAGTGGTTCTGAGGGCAGGGGAAAATAACCCTGGGGGCAGGGGACAGTGATCCTGAGGGCAGGGGACAATGGTCCTGAGGGCAGGGGACAGCAGGCGAGCACCGTAGCAGGGCCATGAGAGCCAAGTGCCCTGCAAAGAATCTGGAGACTTCTGAGACGTGGCCCAAAATGTCCCCTTTGGCCATGGGGGCCACAGCAGAGGGGACGGACACGGGGACGGATGACCAGCCCTGGCCCCCGTCCGACCCCTGCCCAGGGTCTGTGGGCTCTGCAGCCCCAGCTCTGGTCCCTCATGCCAAGGGCACATCGTGCCTCACGTGCTGGAGGAATGTGGCAGCTCCGTCATTCCATCCCAAACCACCCGGACACACCAGAAATCCCTGCCAGGCTGCATAGCGCCCGTCAGGACGTGGGGACACTGCCGGGTCCTGGCAATCGCTGTCTGATAAGTCAGTTCCGTCTGCGTCCCGGATCCTGCCACAAAAATCCTCTTAATTATCCTCCCGAGGCAAATCTGCTCTTTCCTCAGCCACCAAGGACGTTTGTCATTATAACTCAGCGCTCAGGTTGATCTCTGAGGAGCAGATCTCTGATATAAATGTTTTGCAAACACTGTATAAAGACTGTTATTATAAATTCTGGTTTGTGTATGAGGAAACTGAGGCACAGACTCAGAGAGCAGCTCTCCCCAAACCACACAGCTCCACCTGATCCGTGCAGCAAACCATCCAGCCTTTTCCTGGGAATCTGCCGTGAGTGCCATGAACTCCAGCGATGGTGAGAAGGGAGAGACACAGAGTCACTTTCCTGTGGGATTTAGTGCTCCATACCAGGCAGGAATTACCTTTCCAAGCACACAACTCTCAGCCCAGTTCCTCTGCAAGGTGTTTTATGCCATGACATTTCTGGGCTTGATCCCCAGGACCTTGTTCCATGGGCCCAATTAACAAAACACCATGAGAACCCCAAAACAATCCCCACAGGAGGTGCAGGGATCACAGGAGGCAGCTGCAGCTCTTCCTCTGCCACCCCCGTGTCACTTCTCTGCCATGTAACTGTCCTGCCCTCGGTGCTTGAGCCACGAGAAAATGATGTAATTAATAATCATTACGAAAGTTCCTGCACCATCTTTCACCCAAGTGTTCCAAAGCTCTTTACAAACACTCAGTAATTAACACTCATAAATTGTAAATTGCCTAAAAGGTACATGGGGATCTTCCAGGGCTGGGCTGGAGCCGTCTCTTGGGCAGGATGGTGCAGCTGATCAACACCCTGTAGCAACTGCATTTTCTCTTTTGATATTGTTTTTGTTAACTGATGCTCTTTGATACAGTTTTGTACACATGCCCAGAGGCTGGTTGGGGGATAATGAACTATCCTATATGGTTTCTGCATAATGAATGGAGTTATTTAATTGGCACATAACCTAAGAGACTGCTAGTAGACTAAAACATTCAAAACATGAGCAAATAGGAAAGAATGGGATGACTCAGGGAACACTGAATTAACAGCCTCTGTCAAAGAAATTTGCACCCACTCCTCTTGGGTTTCAATGTTGGGGTTGAAGAAGAATGCAGTGATTTACATCTTTTGGGGTGGGTGAATTGCAGGCATTGCTCATCCCACTTGGTGAGGAAAACCTTCTATGTTGCAACTCTTTTTCAAACAGCATCTCCTTTTCCAAAAACCTCATCCAACCTGTCAGAGTCTTTGGGACAACTCAATTTTCTTTGCATCAGATCCTGGATAACTGAGGAAACCTCAAGATATGAGAGTCTGGCACGAATTACCTTTCCTGGACTGAAATTTTCTCCCCTTTTTGGGAATGTGGAGAAGGGCTGAAGCTCCAATCCTCAGCTGGTCACTGGAGATCTGAACTGGAAGTGTGAGTGACAGCAGGTTCCGGAGTCTTTAACAGCACGTGAGAGTTTAATTGTCTGAGCAATCAGCTGAAACATGACTTCAGGACATGAGTTGGCCAATGTCAGAGAAGCTGAGGGACTCCTCCCTGAATTAAACTATTCAAATAAAAACAAAAAAGCCTCACTGCCTGGTGATTTTTCCCTCTCCACAGCTAGAAAAATAAACAACCTTTAATAAGATCTAAATGGAGTGATCTTGTTTGGACAGAACTAATAAAGCAGAACAAGACTTTGGCGTCTTTGACGTGGGTAATTAATCACAGGGAACTGCCCTGCTCAGTTACAGCACAAAACCACAAATGTAACAAACCATGTTAGAGGCCATTCTCATTTCTCACATCTGTGGGACAGTCCATTTGTTCACATGTATTCACATGATGCTGGGATTCTCTCTCACATTTAGACTTCTCCCTACTTTGGGAATACAAATAATAAAAACTATATGACTAAGGGCTTTAACAGCCGAGATCTTACTCTGGAATCAGTAATAATGCCCAAAACATATAAAGAGTCAAAAATGCCTTTGTACAGAAACACACTAGAGCTTAAAAACCATATATTCCAAACCTTGCCATTGGAACTGTAAAAAAAAAAAATACAATATTATTTCAAACAAATAATCAGACATCTTGCAAAATAAGCAATACAGGCATAATCACTAGGAATCCAAGAATTAGTGGGGGAGAGAGTGGGAAAGATGCAGCACAGACATATATTGGTGCACAACAGGATGCTGGGGAAGCTGGAAAATGAAGAAGAAGGAACTGATACATCACAGCAGGGCTGCTCCGAAACTGCAGTCTCAGCAGCTTCAATTACAGACTTATATTTTTCTCCTTTTTATTTTTTTTTAATGGGAAAACAAGTGTCTGCATGCACATACAGAATTCCCAGCAAATTTGGATGTGGCTGACCTCAGTCCATGGGAACAGGAGGGTTGGTACCAGCTTCTCAACTCTGCTGGGGATTTCAAAGAAGGGAATTCTCCCAGTCCCAGCCTAGAAAAAAATAACTGGTTTCATTAAAACATTGCAACTCCTCCTTGTCTCCTTCCACTGAGCACATGCCCGAGCAGGGAGGTTTGTTCCTCCATGCCTGGTGGTTGGGCACAAGCAAGGGGTGACTCTCAGTGGGCGAGTGGGTGGGTTAAAACTTGAGGTTTGAAGCGTAAAATGGGTGGGGGGAAAGGGGAAAAACAGGCTCACACCCAGCAGAAAGAGCTGCTGGAGATGAGCTGGGCAGCTGAGCTCTGGGGAAGGAGCACTGAGCAGGAGCAGAGACCAGCAGAAAAGCCCTCACACACCAGGTTCTGAACCGTTCCCCAGGCTGCTCCTGCAGCAAGGAAGCCTTTTCTGCAGGGCTTTAGTGCCACTCCGGAATTATTCTGAATTAGTGAAAACAAAGCGGCTTGTTCCCACCTCCGCTCTGCCCACATGGAATTGCCAGAGCTGTGTGGGACTCACCTCAGATGACCTTTCTCCAATTTGCCTTGTTTTTCCCGAGTTTTTGGCCATTCTACGGTGTCCTAAATACTTGAAAAACAATAATCTAGTTTAAGTGAAAAGTTAAAAAAATAATAATCTAGTTTAAGACCATTTTCTGTGTTTCTCTATTTACACTTTTTATTTTCCCCCCTTGCTTTTCTAAATGCCTCAAGGAGTGCAAGAAGTGATGCAGCACATGGCAGCTCTCGGATATTTCTGCAACCCAGGGATATGGGGAAAAAACAATGCTGATTGTGATTTTGTCCATTCGAAACTCTGGTGGAAGTCACGGGACAAGCAGCATCCCCACAGAGGATGTCCCACAGGACAAGACACACCCCCGTGAAGCCCAAACGCTGCATCCAGACAGAACCGCGGCGCGTTACCCCGGAGGTTGTGCCCGTGAACTGAGCTGAAAGTGCGGATGATTTGCCATCGGTTCGCCCGGGGCAGCCCGGCTCCTGCCGCAGCACTCCGGGCGCACACCAGGAGAGGGTGCCAAGCCCCCGGCTTCTGCTGCCGGGAACCGCACGGGCTTCCCAGCACCGCCGGGCTCTGAGCCCGCTCCAAAGGCTGCAACTGAGACACCAAGCAACGCACCCCGGATCTGAAGGAAAACCTTTTTTTTTAACCAAAATACCTTTAACTGTTTCAGAGGTGTCGGCAGTTAAGTGCCTTAAACACGGCTGAGGACTTTCGGGCGGGATAAAGATATTTTTTGCTGTATTAAGAAAGGATTTGGCTCTTTTGGATTGCGGCTGATGGACGTGGGTCCGCTCGGGGGGACAGCTGAGCTTCTGGAGGTCGAGAAAACCCCGTCAGATCTGCGAGGCGTAAGGACAAGACATCAATTCCTGCTGCACAGCGACAGCGACCAGGAGGTTTAGAAGGAATAAAACCTGATCCATGAAGTTTCAGAATGACTGTTGTAAAAATCCATCTGCACTGGGAGGCGCAGCTTTTACACCTAAAGTAAGCGCAGGCTCCCGGGCAGCCGCTTTGCCTCGCTCTCTCCCCACTCTGCCCCCAAGACTTTGGAGAAACCTGCGGGGATAGAATTGGCATCGCTCAAAGCGAGCAAACCCCGAGCAGATCGCCCTCCCACGGAGGAGCCGCGGACCCCGCGTTTTTAAATCCCCCCCACGGTGACACCCAGGCTGCGAGAAACCCCCCCGCAGACCCTCATTCCCCACGCGTGTCCCCGTCCGGGATCGCAGCGGGCGCGGAGCCGCAGCATCGCCGTCCGCGGGCACTGGTGGGGGCAGCGTGCGCGTGTTAAAAACATCACCGACAACCGCAGGAATAAAACGACTCTTTAGCGGCCGCCCCGCAGCGAAACGGCGTAAAACAGCCCAAAACCGTGCGCGCAGGTGACCGCCCCGGGACTCCCCCCGCCCGCCGCGGGTGTCGCAACCGCGCCCGT